GAGCCATGTGCGCGACTGACGAGGATTGGTGGCGGAACATGGGTTGTCGTAGGCGAAGTCGACGACGGCAAAGACGTAGACTGTGCGAGTATACACGCCAGACTGCCATCGTCACCACCGGATACGATGAGCCAGGTATCCGCACTAATGGCTCGGGATGTCATGGCTTTTGAGGAGCTTTGATGTATCCTTGCCGGATGGTGCCATGTCAAATGATCATTTGACCCAGTGAATTTTCCACGCGATCGTTCGGTATCTGCCATTAGCGGCCATACTACAATATGGCCATCGGTACCAGCTGTCAAGACCTTTTCTCTAGAGAGGAACATGCACTGTGTCAAACAGGATGTAAAGTAGAGACCCTTTCCAAGAGGCTGCCATGTGATAGTAGCGGCAGGATCATAACGATAGATCTTGTCACATCAGCGCCATGCTACATTGAGAATACGGAGATCAGCTCACCTTGATGCTGGAATCTGAGAACACCATCGTGATAGTATGTGCGGATCCCGACGTGATCACATCGAAAGACATGAGTCTCAAATCTGCGTGCTCACTTTCTGGGGTGTACACATGTTCGCACACGATTCCAATGTCAAGAGCGGAGGCGGGTAAGTCCCGGATCCGCCATACATAGACTGTGAAGGAAGTCAGCAGCAGCTTTGCAGCATTGTACCCAAACCTTACATTCTTCACAGCCACCACTGCTGAACAGATAGTCACCGTCTTGCGACCATTGTAGATGCTGAATCCCCGTGGTGTGCTTGCGAATAGTCCTTTGGCATATCAGATCATCATCAACATGGCGGAAAATCTTGATATCGGTATCCTCGGCGCCTGTGGCGATGAGCGGGTGAGATCTACCGTTCATCTCCGATGTAACTGCGAGCGCCTTGATCTCGCGTCCATGACCCCCTCGTCGAACGACAGCATGATTCGGTCTGTTTTGACTGCATATATGCATACTAGAGGCTCGAGTCCATACTAGGATACCTCCTAGCGACGAGTGTGACCGGAAGGCCCAACTTCTATGCGCTCCTCCGGTTTCGATGCTCATGACTTGCTCTTCGCTAGTGACATCGTATAGATACCATTTCTTGCTTGAGAAGCCGTGTATGAGGAGATGGCCGTCCTGGAAGTATAAACCTTCAATGTTTGGTCCGAATGGTACCGCAAGATCATGCACCAGCTCGACAACGTTTGCAGATGCATCGAACTGGTGTACGCTGAGACGCCCATCTCTTCCTACGGAGAACAGGTGGCCGTGTACGGAGCCTACGGAGACTCCAGATGAGGGACACCATGTAAGACAAGTGACTGCTTCCGCACCGTGTGCTTTCTCAATGATCCGTAGCAAGATAGCAACATCCGTACCCCCCTCACCTTTACGGATTTCATACAGTGCGATCGAACCCCGACGGAACCCAATGATGAGAATGTCTCTCCCGGGTATTCTTGCATAAGTCATACTCGTGATGACCGAACCGGCCGAAGATTCTGCAATGGGTATCTGCACAACTCTCAGAACGTTCGTGTTGCTATCAGGGTCCACGTATAGCAATTGCGCTTCACCTTGACCAACAAGGGTCACAAGTAATGCCGCCGTATTTGGACCATCCGTGTCTGATACCTCCACAGCTAAGATGTCTCCAACTTTGCTACCAATGGCATGCAGATTTGCCAGGGTATTAGACTCCTTATTGTACACGTAGATGTTGCCGCTACTACCAGCGATGTAAGCGAAACCAGGACGGCAGCCACTCGTGCAGACAGAGTAACCAGAAAGATCTTTCAGTTCATCGATTAACTTCGAGTTCGAAAGGAGGCTTGACTGACTTGGGGCTGTCCTGGACGAAATGGAGCCGATAAGTACGGTTCCAGAGTTAGTAGTAAGCAAAAATGAGGTTTCATCGACAAAGCAATAGCTTCTGAAGAACTCTGCTTTCCTTGGGGACTTTGGACCGTCCACAAATTCAGGCCTGTTTGAATCAGGTTCGGCCACTTGCGCCCATGATAATATGTCGTGTACAGTATACTCAGCGATCGCACCACGTAAGTTCTTCTCTGCCTGCAGGATGCGCAATAACGGGGTAGCGGTGACTTTACTATCAGCGCCACCTGCAATAACCTGCTGTATTCCTGTTGAGTCATTGGAAACAACAGTCGACCACAAGTTCTTCCCGCTATGATGCGCGGTGCAGTCAAGTTCTAGCAACCTGTAAGGAAAGCTCGTGCTACTTCCGGGGTTTGGCGCAAGTTCCCACGTCCTTGCAGTTGCATCTTCACCGGCAGACTGGAGTAACAGTGATCCATTGCATGGCGATGCTTCGAGAAAGCGGACCGTCCAAACGCGTGAAAGATGACCCCACCCGATGGCGAGACAGCTCGAGCTATTAAATTCATTTGAGTCGAAAGCCTCGTTGGTAAAGCCGGTATGACGAGTTCTCAGAATCTCCAAGTCATTGCTATGAGCTTCCGAGGTAGTGGCACTAGTGTTCACATCCGAGACGTCCCATATTCGGATTGTGCGGTCATCGCTGCAGCTTGCTACCACCCGCCTCAGTCTTTGACAACATTCAGTGGGTAGCTCTTCCGAAATCTGGACCCCGAAAATTGAGCCCTCGTGACCCAAAAATACGCGATGGATACGGGAGGCGGATCCACCGCCGCCATTGTCGCACCATGACCAGTATATAATTTCACCGAACGCTGTACCAGCAGCAACGAGGACCTGGTTTAGATTCTCCCAGAACAGGTGAGCGGAGTAGAGGATAGATCGAGAACTTGAAGTTAGATCAGATACAGCTACATCGATGTAACTGAAATCAAAATGTCAGCAAGGAAATGATACTCCAGCAGATCAATGTGTGGTATGCGCACTTGGTTATGTGGAAGTCGTCCGATGTCCTTTGTTCCATCTCAACGTGCAGCAGTGCGTTATGAGCAGTGACAGCAATGCAGGATCCTTTGCGGTACTGAGCATCGTCATCCAGGCCTTTGGGACGAGGAGCGAGATCAAGAATCCAATCTGAAGCTTTCGCGACGTTGGAGAAACATAGGCTCAGGCCTTGTTGGCCAACTTGATCTGCAAAGTCAATCTCAAGGGCGCGGATCAGTCTTCCACCCCAGATGACCAGTTTGATAACGTGCGCATGCTCTTCCGAAAAGACGCGTATTCCATGGATTGATTGAGCTTTGAAGACGCGCTCCGAAGAGATGTACCGCGAGTTGCTGGCATGGTGGAAGCGTAAAAAGGGGCCTTCTGCAGCGATCAGCAGAGCGCCGCAAGAGGCCAGTGCTGTCACTGGTACGCGAATGCATTCATGCTGCGGTGATTAGCTGCTGTCTGGCTCGATGCAACGCAGACTCACGTGTAGAGTTGGCAACATTGGCTCGCCAGAATCATATGTGAGGTTGGTGTTCATGATGGGAAAATTGGGGTTGAGTCCGCCCCGCGAAGTGTGGCGGGCGTGGCGGGGCAATGACGGAGTGCGTTTCCGCGATTTTTTGTCGGCCTTCACCGCGCTGATTGCTGCTACAAGCACCCACATCACTCTCTACACTCTCAATTCAACCTGCTCATAGATAATATTTCCCTAGCAAAATCGCCAACATGTCTCTCGCAGGCCCACTAGGCACGAGCATCAATCCAGAGGAGACTGAGAACTTTGAGGATGCAGGTACCCCAAAGCCAGCGCGTCGACAGTCATCGCTAACCGCGTCTACAGATCGAGAAGCAGTTCGCGGTCAAAGGTACAGATCACGAGACCTGCCGGTCGCGACCATGCTGACAGTATCACACAGTTGTGCAGCACATGGAAACATACTGGAAGATCCTCGAGAAAGTACCCGGCTCCAAGCTGCGACTCACCAAGATCGACGACGAAATCTACGAACACCTCAAGACGGAATTCCCCGAGTTCGACGCATCAGCCACACTAAACGAGGATGAGATGAAGAGCAAGGAGGGGAAGGAGCGATGGCGCAAGTTCATCAGTGAGTACGAGAAGAAGGTCGAGGATTACAATTTCGGCACAATGCTGCGCGCAAGTCCCAAGATGGAATACAGCCAGGAAGGCACAATATTCGCTGTTCGGATGCAGTTCTACGCTATCGAAATCGCACGGTAAGCTATGCCCTGGATCTAGCGGCGCGCCCGATGCTGACATGCGCAGTAACCGAGAAGGCCTGAATGACTGGATATACGAGAAGGCGCAGGGCAAGTAGTTCACCGCAGGATGATCCTGGAAATTCTAAATTCCAAGTTATTGTTCGCAAGGGACGCCAATACGCGGCTGCATTGTCGACATCCGGCCCGTCACTTATTCGTCGCTTACGAGCTCACGTTCTTTGTCGGCCGCCCAGCTATGACCGTCTATGAATATCTGTCATGCAAGCCACTGGATCATCGGTGGAGTACCATATTGGCTTGATAATTGACGTATTGATGAACGTATAATCTTCGTCAGTCGCCGGCCTATACTGTGCATGTCAACTACAAGACCAACAAAGCGCTGAATCAGGTGTGTCGCTCTCAGCTCACCATCCGCTGATGACCTGCGCGGAGGAAGCCACTGTTTCATCTCGTTCTAAAGTGATCGCATGAGCGGATGCAATTTTTGGGCTTTCCGTGAAGGCGGCGATTGGTGGCTGGAGAACAATGTTAAGGAAAGACAAAGTAAGCGACGAAAGCAGGTGCGCGGAAACCATCTTTCCAGGGCTACGACCACATGGCCGCCACCGACTAGTCCATATGTGGTAATTCCCTATTCTCTGTTCTCACTTCATCTCGCCTTCGGGTCGCTCTTACTTTTTGTCGATTCCACCACCTTACACTCTCTTTTCGCAGTCGCTGCCGTCGAGTGGCCAAGATGGCGACGACGATTAATCCAAATGCGACCGCCCGTTCCGAAAAGCCGCCATCTCTGAATGATGAGGAGCAGGATTATATAACGAATGTGGGATGGAGGACGTTGTTCACTTTCGCCACAAAACAGCATATGCCCGCACTGCTTGGCGGTATTGCGATGGCGTCCGTCGCTGCGCTGTCCATGCCCGCTTTCGCAATCCTCTACGGTCTCGTATTTGGTCAATACACAAGCTATGGCGAAGGATCGATAAGCAGCAGCCAACTCATGAGCAACATGGCCAGGTTCTGCGTAATTCTTACCGCTCTCGCAACACTCAACTGGATTGCCAATAGTTTCTACTATCTCTTCTTTCTCATGTTCGGAGAGCTCCAGGCGAGGAGTGCTCGCAACAGAATCTTCGATGCTCTTATCAAAAAGGATATGGCTTGGTTCGATACGCGGGAGGATGGAATCGCCGCATTTCTGCCGACAGTACAGATGTAGGTGCCACTCTAATGTCGGAATCGCCGTAGGAATACGTTCGCTAACGAAGAACAGGCACGTGCGCGACTTGCAGCTTGCAGTATCATCTCCTTTTGGCGAAGCTGTCCAGTCGCTCGTGCAAGGTGTCGCATCCTTGGGGGTCGCTTTCTACTATTCGTGGAATCTAACATTGGTCGTCTTGTGTACAATACCAGTTCTATACTTGGTTCAATCCTCAGTGGCAAAGCGGTTGTCACTACGAGCACACGAGCATTCCGAGAACTTGAAGTCGGCACTGAAATATATTACGACTGCAGTAACAAGTATTGAGACGGTTAAATGCTTCAACGGGGAAAGATACGAACTCCACGTCTTTACCAGCATCGTCACCATTGCAGCGAGCTTATACAGAAGCGTGGCCAATTTCCGCTCTATGCAGATCGGCATTATGCAATTTTTTACGATCAGCGTTTTTGTTCAAGGGTTCTGGTATGGTAGTCACCTCGTCGAGACCGGGGAAAGTGACCCAAAACAGGTCCTCACGACGTTCTGGGCAGCACTTATGGCAATGTCTGGGATGACCCAGATAATGCCTCAGCTGATTGTATTGCAGCAAGGAAAGATGGCCGGTGCAAGATTAAGTGTGCTTATGAAGCTGATTTCAACGAGCGATCAGCAATTCGAATCGCAAGGCAAACTGCGGCCTGAGAGATGTACGGGCCAGCTCGAATTTCGAAAGGTAATGCTTCTCACGCCGCGTCAATGCTCCTTACTAACTATTTACCAGGTCACATTCTCATATCCTTCACGCGCAGACGAGACTGCCATTCGAGATGCTTCGCTTCTGATCCGGGCTGGAGAGACGACCTTTGTCGTCGGCAAAAGCGGTTCCGGAAAGAGCACACTAGGACAACTTCTCGTCCGCTTCTATCGGCCTTCTTTAGGACAGATCTTCCTGGATGACGTTCCACTCGAAGATTTGGATGTCAAATGGTTACGACAGAATGTCACGCTTGTTGAGCAGCACAGCGTACTGTTCAATGATACTATCCGCCACAATCTCGCTCTTGGTCAGCTAGGTGATGCAGTGGATATGCAAGATATCCGCAATGCAGTCAAGTTTGCTATGCTAGAACCTGTTATGGAGAGCCTTCCCAATGGACTGGATACTGAACTCGGCATGAAGGGCGGCTCATTGAGTGGAGGGCAGAGACAAAGAATGGCTCTAGCTCGAGCTAGGATTCGGAACTCGCCGGTGCTGATCCTGGACGAATCAACCAGTTCTCTTGATTACGTTACACGAGCCGAGATGCTTGACGCTATACGAAGCTGGCGGAAAGGGAAGACAACGATTATCATTACCCATGACATCTCGCAGATCCGACCCAACGACTTCCTGTACTTGCTGGACAACGCCCGGGTAGTACAACAGGGGCGTCGAAAAGAGCTCGAGTCACAAAATGGATCTTTCAAGTCTTTTCTTGATACGCACACCGAGGCTGACACAGACGATGAGTCTGATGATCATGAGGACGACTCCTATTGGGGGCCTGAAGCTGGTGACGGCAATGTGTTACACGAGGAGTCACGGACAGCCCGGATCATTTCTATGACACGTCCGCTATCTGCTGTTCACTTTGGACAGTCAGTGCTGGAGACTTATTCCGAGAATACCCGCGCGTCTTGGGACTGTACTGTACCGGTCGATGTAGGCCCAGGCCCAAGGCTATCCATCCATGAACAGACGGCTGATAGAGGCGGTAAGATGGAGCCCATTGAGACGAATCAAGCATCTCCAGATTCTGTGGCATCGAGACATCTCCCGTCTATGCCGTCTCCTGTCAAGAAAAGGATCTTATCGAAAGACCATGGCTCGAGACCTGTTTCAAGGTCGAATCTCCACAGACGCTCTCTGTCGTTTTCAAAAGAACATAGCTCACGTTCAGACCCCAAACTATCTACGCGACCGGTCTCGCCGATCGGTCCGTACTCGCGACCCTTTGCGACCAACGAGTCTGTCCCAGTTCTTTCGGACGCACCGAAGAAATCTTCGAGAAACGATAAGCTTCTTCAGAGAATCAAACGCTTCCGCAAAAAGAACCCTAGTGAAGACAAGGATTTCCCGGCCGCCTCTCTTCCCATGAAAGAGATAGTCATGTCTGTGTGGCCCGCTATAGGCTGGGGTCCGCGTCTCCTCATTTTAGCGGCATCCTTCAGCGCAACGATTCATGCTGCATGCACACCAGTATTTGCATGGGTTTTCGCCCAGCTTTTGACTACCTTTTACGTGTCTGGCGCTAGGAAGGAAATGTCCCAAAAATATGCCCTCGTCATTCTTGGTATTGCCGCTCTCGATGGTTTATCGTGCTACCTCATGTTCTTCCTCTCAGATACAGTAGCGCAGGCGTGGACTCTTTCGCTGAAGAAGGAAGCCATGCGGCGCATCCTCATGCAACCACGGAAGTTCTTCGACAAGGAAGAAAACAGCGTGTCGCGGCTTGCCGAGACGTTGGATCATTTTGCTGAAGAGGCTCGAAATCTTCCAGGCCGGTTTGCTTGTGTCTTTCTCACTATGAATCTTATGGTTTGTATTTCTATCTTTTGGAGCATGGTCATAGCATGGGAGTTGGCCCTGGCTGCTCTCGCAACCGGTCCTGTTCTCTTCGTAATCACGAAGTGCTACAACGTTATCAGCAGCCGCTGGGAAAGATTGGAGAATGAGGCCGCTGACAAGGTTGGTCAAGTGCTCCACGACGCGTTCGTCAATATCAAGACTGTTCGATGCCTAGTTTTGGAAGATTACTTCAAGGAAAGGTATACCAACGCAACCACCGAAGCCGTGAATGTCGGCATCAAGCGCGCAATATACTGTGCATCCATCCACGGACTTTCATTCACTGGAGTCATCTTCGTAACTATCCTGCTATACTGGTATGGAGGTTATCTCATGTCGAAAAATGAGTACACTGTCAATGAAGTGTTGGAATGCTTCTTGGTTCTCATGCTCAGTGTCAATCAAGTTAGCTATATGGCGAACTACGTCACTCAGGTCAACATGGCAAGGGATGCTGGGTCACGATTACTACGTCTCGCACGACTACCAAAGGATTCACACGAGCTCACCGGCGAAATTCAGATACAGTCTGCAGGTGACATCTCGCTGAACAAAGTCACCTTCAGTTATCCAGCCCGACCTGAGACCCGAGTACTGCATGACGTGTCGTTTCAAATTCCACAAGGGAGCTGCACCGCTATCGTCGGATCCTCGGGGGCAGGCAAATCTACAATTGCCTCTCTCCTCCTCAAACTTTACCAAGTAGGCAACAACCCACTCGCATCCTCCAACCCGTCAAGCGATATGACCGTCTCGAATTACGATATCAAGACCTTGCATACTACCATCCTCCGTTCCCGGATGTCCATAGTATCACAAACGCCCGTCCTCTTTCCCGGCACTGTCGCAGAAAACATCGCCTACGGCCTATCCCGTTTACTTCCCGAAACAAGCATCAAAAGCATCCGCGCAGCCGCCTCTGCAGCTGGCATAGCTGAGTTCATCGACAGCCTGCCCCAAGGCTACAACACGCTTATCGGCGAAGGCGGCACATGTCTATCCGGAGGCCAAGCCCAACGCGTCTCAATCGCACGCGCCCTCGTTAGAAACCCCGATGTGCTCATCCTCGACGAAGCAACGAGCGCGCTAGACGTAACTTCCGCTCAGACCATCCGCGACACCATCCTCAGTCTCGTTCACGGCATCGAAGACACTGGATCCACTATATCCCCACCCACATCACCCTGGAACCGTTCAGGTTGGTTTTGGGATGAGATAGAGGGGAATTGGGATTACAAAGTTGGATATCCCCTGCAGCAGCGGATGACTGTGGGCAGTGGTAGTAATATGGGCAACAGACCGAAGAAACGGATGACAGTCATCATCATTACGCATGCGCGGGAGATGATGGCTATTGCTGAGCACATTGTTGTGTTGGATCAAGGAAGGGTGGTTGAACAGGGTAGCTTCAACGAACTGAAGAGGAAAAGGCAAAGTGCTTTTGGAAGGTTGCTAAGGGGTGTGAGGGAGTAAATTGATTGAAGTAGGGGTTTGAATGGCGAAAATAGCCATTTGTCTTGTTTCTGAGAGAGTTTTGTGTCTATCTCTTCTTTGTATAATTTCAAATACATGCTGCTCTCTCGATACTGATGTGTTCATGTTCCTTTGTGCAAGCACGAAACTGAACCGTTACATAAATACTAATTATGCTGCTACTTGACAGACTGTAATACATCAGGTTTAGAGCAGGCAGCAAACTGGATAATAACGTAGCCGCCCGTGGCACCTAGGTATGCACGTTCTCTTGCGCATTAATATGGTACTGCAGGAGAGAACGAGGCGTGTGGCCCTTTCTTTCGTGTCTATATAGTTAATCTGACGATACTTCACGAAGAGACATCAAGCCTATCATGCGAGTGGAAACCTCCAAGAACAAAACATTTATTCCTAGTTGATCATAGCTATGGCGTTTCTTCCCTTATACCGCACGCGCTTCCTACGGCAGACTATCGTTCAGTCTCACAGACAAGCGTACAAGAAGGCGGTAAAGCAAATATTAGAACCTCGTTCGAAGTGGATGGTAACATTCTTAGCCGTAAATGGGCGGCAGAAGTACCATGACCATGTAGCGAACGAGGCAATTGTGCAATTTTGTTGTAAAGCAAGAATGAGCGCAAAACCACACAAGGAGAGAGTGCTCGTAGAGAACAAACCCAATAACAAGGTATGCTCTTGAAAAGTGTAGTCGACCCCGGTCAAGTCGTTAGATGTAGCGACAGCTCTGGGTTGACTGTGAGTGGAAGGATGTGGGACATGATGCTCCGTTGGACCAGTTGCTAAGACCTGCGATCATTTTTCGCTCAGCGTTGACATGATGTGATGTAGACTAAGGGGCCGCGAGGTCACCGTACTGTCCAGTACCTGTCCTATCCTGCTCAAAGCCCCTTGTGTGCTGATGGCTCATGTCTTGATCGCGTTCAACGTTTCGTTCGATGGCGGCGTTGTGAATTTCGACTACTGCGTTGCTACTGACGCTCATCTTTCGGTTTGCTAGTTGGGCTCCCATAGCTTTCGCCGTCCACCGCCGCGAACGGGGCCCACTTTGGGGGCAGGGCGAGAGAAAGAGTCTGGATCGAGAGGCGCATTCGGATCATGTCGAGGAGCTGGTGGAGCTCGGAAGACTGGGCCTGGAGGAACGTATGCGCCGCGCGATGCAAAGTTACCACGGCCCCGGAAGGCTGGTCCACCGCGACCGCGGGGCGCCGCATGAGCTCCACGTCCACCGCGAAGGGACTGTTGCTGGTTTGTGCGAGCAAAATCGTTGGGGTCGAAGACGTGTTGGTTGCCGGTAGTGGCGGCAGGGCCTCGAGGGGCGCGCTTGAAAAGTACCTCGTCCTCGTCATCGGAGATGTCTTCGGGCTTAGTCTCGTTTACGTTCGTGTGGATGGGGCTGGACTTGGGTCGCTCTGCGGCTTTGGGTGCGATTGGAGAGGCGCTCTTAGCAGCGGTCGCTTCGACCTCTAGCTTGTGGATGGTCAGATGGTTCTTGTATTCGCGGTCTTCACGAGCAACAGCATCTCGGAGCTGCTCAAGGCGTTTAGCACGGATGCCGAACTTCTGAGCGATGGCCTGCTTGGCAGAATCATTGGTGAGGAGGATGAAGGACTCCAGGGCCGCATCTGGATTGCCCTCCTTGTTGATGCGCCACATGATGTGATTGAAGAGGGGCTGGAGATAGACAGGCACGGAGCCTTTGGTCGTCTTGTCAGCGCGAGCCATATCGGTACTGCTGCGTGCGGTACGGTCGGGGGACGCTCTGAGTAGCGTGGCTGCCTTGTCTGTGTGTGGGGTGGCGTCGACTGGCCCGGACGCCGTGCTCGAACGCGAACCAGGCGACTCGGGAGTCTTGGACACGTTCTCGAAGCTGTGCGTAGAGCTGATGGATGTGCCATCGGACATGTCGAGGGCGTTGAAGGAGCTTTCGAGATCCTCGTGGTAGTCGTCCTCGTCCGACTCGCTATCCTCCATGGAGAGCAATGTGTCGGGTAGCAGGAAGTGCTCCACCTCTCCCCACGTCGTGTAGGCTTCGTCGACGCCTTCGAGCTGGACACGGCTCGCGGCTTCATTGGACGTGACTTCGTCGAGCCACTTGACGGCTTCGCGGGCGTCGGCGTGGATGCGCTCAGTGCCGTTCTTGAGGCGGTGGAGCTGGGTAAGGGCTTGTTGTGCGTTAGTCAAGGGGACAGGGAAGCTGCGATGCTATGGCCTACTGTGCAGCGGGACATAAAGACGTATAGCGTCCTGGGCGATCCACTTGCGGATGCCATCGCGGGTGCTCTTCTTGACGCCGGCGATCAGAGCGGTATCGTCGACGATGCAGTTGAATACCTTGCGCTTCGGTGGCTCGGGTGCGCGCGTGGCGGCCTCGGGCTTGCCAGGCCGCGAGGGGCAGGTACTGCGACGCATGATTATCGCCGATGTGCCTCGCAGCCGCGGGTAGTGAGGGTGTAGTAGCGATCGGCTATGGCGGTGCGCGGATGGGAGTAGTAGGCAGCTTGGTTGGTGAACCACGGTTCCGGCTGGAGCAGGGCTAAGTGCGGGTTTGTTGTTGGGCGCCAGTACGTGCCATGGGTGTCGACGCAGGATTTCAGGGTGTGCGCATTAGATTTGCGCTGGCCAGTCGAAGCGCGGGAGCGAGGTCATCAGTCTTGGGCATGGTGCAGAGGACCATAGTCGTTGGTGTCACTGTCACCGACACGGGCGTGTGAAGTTCGGGCCTGCATCACCGCACCATGATGCCCACGCCAAGTGGGGTGCGCCGCGCCACCCACCCAGCCACACCGGAACAACTGCACAGGAATGATATCTTGCATTTCATTCGCCTTGGTAGTCTGGCTCAGTAACTTTCTACCTCCCTGGCACTGCTCATATCTGGCATCCAGCCCTTGGGACGCTCGTTTCCACGCACAGTCAAACCATAGAGACCCTTCTCTACCTTGTCCACGCACTCGCGCATCACGGGCATCTTCTTCGTCTCCAACTCTGCTGCAAACTTGGACCCTCCCGGTGCGTCGAACATCTCGAGCTGCAGCCGGATCGCCCTCAGGTCATCCAAGACAGTCCGCGGCTTCTGGCTTTCATTCGCAACTGATGCTTCCTCGTCGATGTCCATCTTGTCGCCAGCATCGTCTTGGCCATTGCCTTGCTTCAGCCTTTTGTTCGCCTCTGCTTGCTTGCCAGACGGAAGTTTGCCGTTTGTCGCCATGCTCGTGACAGAGAAGCGCATCAGCTCGCCAGTCATATCGCAGACACCGAGAATGTAGTCTTCTGGCGTAAAGGAGATAGGTCCAGCTTCGCCGCTCATAGCAGCGATACGGGCCTTGGCTTCATTGTACGAGATCAGTGATTGTGTTTCAAGGTAATGCTGGAAGCTAAGCGCTTCCATGAACTCTTGATTGCCGCCCGTGATGTTGTGCGAGTAGCGGTAAGCATTCAGGCCTTGAAGGTCGGCGGCGATGTTCTTGTAGCGATCTTCAATCGTCTCCCAGTATTCCGCATTCTTCTTGGTGACCCATGGTGGTACTGCTTGGCCAACAGCGCGGACCCTTGTCAGGTCAGTGTGTGTTTGGTAAGGCCATCATGAAGACCTACCTCTGGAGAGTGAAGATGCTGCACAGTTGTTAGCAATCGGCCACAAGAACCTCGAACATTGCCTAGTACATCTTCTTGCTCGACGCGGTGATGTCACGCGACGCCTTGATGATTCTCTCTCGTCGATCATGGTGTTCATCCAGCTCTGCGCGGAAGCCTTCAAACATCGACACAAAGGGCGATGGAGATTGCTCTGGCTTCTCGTCCGCCATTGCTGCGTCTCTCGGTCGTTTGAGGCCCATGAATCTGCGTGGATGGTGAGCTTATACTCAACGTCAGGCAAACGCTGGGATTGTCCGCTAGTGCACGTCCTCACGTGGACGCTATCGCGTTTACGGACTAAGGCGCTTTCGGCTGCTCTCACTCCTGGAGAGTCCATCCTGTAGGGTTTCATCAACACACCACCCAGCGAAATCAGTTCCGATCCTCCTATCATCGGGTTCGCTTTTTTCAGCGTCTTGTCTGGTCAACTTGGCTTTTGTAATGCCGGAGACAACATGGCTCTTTTCTTTTTCTTTCGCAGTCCACCACTGGTCTTCACAACGTCAATCGTCCTAAGAGTTGTCTTCCTGTTATATGGACTCTGGCAGGATGCGAATTCACCTATGAAATACACCGACATTGACTATTATGTCTTCACGGATGCTGCGCGCTACATCTCGCGCGGCCAATCCCCTTACGCACGGGACACGTATCGTTATACGCCCCTCCTGGCGTGGCTCATCTACCCTACTGTATGGTCTGGGCAATTCTGGTTTTCTTTCGGAAAGGTCCTGTTCGCCATCGGCGATGTCGCTACAGGTTGGATGATGTTTCGTATTTTGAAACAGTACAAGAAGATGAGCAATGAGCGAGCCCTCAAATTTGCCAGCATTTGGCTGCTGAATCCAATGGTGGCCACTATCAGTACAAGAGGTAGCTCCGAGGGACTGCTTGGAGTATTCGTGACTGCATTGCTTTGGGCGGTGTTGGCAAAGCAAAGAGCACTTACTGGGTTCTTGCTCGGGTTCGCAGTGCACTTCAAAATCTACCCGTTCATCTACGCAGCCTCTATTGTCTGGTTCCTCGATGACACGCAAGTCGCAACAAGGGCAGATATCCGACAGCAACCATCGACTTCCTTGCTTGAGAGAACGCGCAACTTTCTCAATCCCATGAGAATATATTTCGCACTCTACAGTCTCCTTGCGTTTGCGAGCTTGAACCTGCTTATGTACAAGGTTTACGGATGGCCATTCCTCGAGCACAGTTACTTTTACCATCTGACTCGTACGGACCACCGCCACAACTTTTCGCCTTACAATACGCTCCTCTACCTGAAATCGTCCCCAACGCCTACGAACTTGGAGCCGACCACATTATCTTCCGGACTGGAGCGTTTGGCATTCCTTCCGCAACTGCTTCTCAGTGCTTTCTTTATACCACTAGCGCTAGCGAAGAAGGATCTTCCGAACACGATGTTAGCCCAGACGTTTGCCTTCGTTACCTTCAACAAGGTCTGCACAAGCCAGGTAAGCGATACGATGGATTGTCGGTCTTGCATGAATACTAACTCTGTCGAGTACTTCCTCTGGTACATGATGTTTCTCCCATACTACCTTCCAGATTCGACTCTCCTGCATTCAGCGCCCATTGGGATCACAGCACTTCTGCTCTGGCTTGTGGGCCAAGTTGCCTGGCTCCAGCAGGGCTTTCAACTTGAGTTCAACGGTTGTTCGACCTTTGTTCCCGGACTCTGGGCTTCGAGCATACTCTTTTTCCTCGTCAATGCTGGTATTCTTGGTGTCATCATCTACGACACTGAGCATAAGAAACCAGGGAGAAAGGCTGCCCCAGAGAAAAAACCTTCATAGCCCCATTTTTGCACGTCATCTTTACGCAAACACACATCAGCTCAACCCATATTCGGCTCCATCCACTGTGTAGCTTCCCCTCCGGTCGTAGACTTCATGTTTTCCGATGAATTCTCTCTATACCAGTCGTGCTTCTAATCACCTCCCTAGAGGTCGCCGTCCCTCATCTGCTGTTTTCTCTTCGCAATTTTCACACATGCCCATGTCACTGGCAGTCCCCTCTCAATGTAGGGCATGCTAGCCAATCCATACGAACCGCTATGTCGGTGCCAACCCAGCTGATGCTCGTCAAACTAGCTCAGTAGTTCCTCCATCGCTTTGTGTGGTTCCATGTCTTTCACTGCTCCGGCTGTCACCGTTCCAATTGCCAAACTGGACTATCCGACGACTCACGTGTTGTGGGGGCATCTTTTGCCACATTTCTTCTTTTGCGAGTTTTGGACATGGGTTTGTATGTGGACCTCTTGCGTAAAATGGAGAGTCTCTCGGCAGTCTTGCTCGATGGGCCTGTATCAGACGCAATAGCAGTGTTGTCGGGTTGAAATGAAACATTTTGGCTTGGTGGAGTAGAGTTGGCTAGCACATAACGAACACTGGCAGGGACAGGGTTGGGCGCGAGTTGACGGAGCTTCGGAGACATGCTGGGTTCATCGCTGCCGGAGTAAGCAGCGGTCGTCGGTCTCCTGCGCCTTTTCTAAGTTCTTCGGCACTGGAGAGTAGCAGGGTGAAAATTAGTGCTGTTAATTTAAATGTTAGTGTTCACATTAGCTTCTATTAGAAGGGAAGATTAACGCGCGAGAGATAACAAAGTTGCAGAGACCGACTCCGACTTAATGCAGCTAAGCCGTGCCTTCTGTGAGTGAAGCCGAGAGCTTGTCAGTCTCTTGCATAATATCTGTATGTCTTTAGGATAATTGAGGTTGGTAGGTAAAGTAGTGTCACAAAAGATAGAATAAGAAAGAAGCCATCGTGTCTACGACAGATACATGTATAGAGCAAACATAATAGTTCTAACTAGAACTAGTATCACTCTATATAACTTAGAATAGAAGGAAACTAACACATATTAAGCGAAAGACACATGCGCTAAGAATAGGAATTTTATCTTAACGTTCATGGCTATCTGATACATTGTTTAAAAACTTAGTGTAATGTGTCGTACACTTATTGTTTAGGAGCAGGAAAACTGCTGCCTAGTCACTTTTCTTTGCCCACATACAAGTCAGTAGACACATGGTGTAACGAACGTTGCTTAGATTCGATCTGAGCTTTATGTCAGCTCTAGGCTGCAAGTATTCGTCCTCATCCTTATTTACATGCACTGTGCTTATCATAAGTTAAATTCTGAGAAGGAGCTAAGCGCTGCTTCGCTATCATCCCATGCCCCATATGATTATTCTTCTCCAGCACATCTTCCACTGTAACCTTGCTCTGCATACCCTTCACCACTATGGCCTCATCTTCTTCCTTCTTGATTTTCTCCTCGCCCAAGTCTACGTTCTCACTTTCGACAACGGTGACACTAGCAACAGTACCCTCACACTCATCCATCTCCTTGATCCCATGGAGAACCTTATGCAAAAGACTACCCGGCGCCACTAGTTCCTGGCTGTAAGAGAAGCGTTCTGGATTCGGGACACCGTAGAGAATGAACTGTAGAACGCCTGTGCGCTCAGAATCTACTACAGCAGAAATCGGAAGGGTCCTGTCGCTCATGAGTGAAAAGGTTGTACTAGCTTTTGGTCGAAGCCATGACGGGAGGGAGTATGGCCATGGTTTAAAGGCTACTTCCTCCACACCCTCCTCTTTCTCTCTCTTACTATCCTTCATAGTCTCCTTCATGTCATTTTTTTGAGACGTGGATTCCAATACTGTAGGCATTGGCGTTACCATCCCGCTGCATAGCGGAAAAGAAAGGGGACGCGTTGAGCACGGGTGGAAAGTTGAGTAGGCGACTATGAAGCCGAAACCTTCTTCGGTTTCGGCGTTTGAAGCTTCAACAGCGTCGAGAGTATTTGGACGGAGACTGTCGAATCGCGACATGGGTTGGGCGCTAGGTGTTATGCGTTGACGCATTGTTCGTACAGAGAAGATCTTGCGGAACATTGTGGCGTTCTAATTGAATGATTTATGCCTGCTATTTCTAGAGGTTCTCGTACGGGTGGTTTATCGGAGTTGAGCAGAATGACTGATGAAAAGAGGAGTGAGTTGTACCGTTAGAAAGATCAAGCGTCGGCGGAAAAGGCTCCATCGGTAGTGGGCGAAGGGGATTTAATTTCCCTTGGTATAGACGACGTCGCACACAATACCCGCATAGCGTTGTCCAGACACGAGTGAAAAGTTTGAGGTAGGTATGCGTTAACAGTGTTTGGGCGCCGCTAGTGTTTGCCTCTCTAAAACCCGGCCGGATCGCGAAGTTCGAAACGTTCGAGATGGTGTGTTGCAGCTTTTACGTCTTTGTCGATTGAGCAAATGTTTGTGTCTGGATTGGTAATATTCTGCTCTTCTCTCATCGTCAGAGGTGGGCCCCTAAGGACCACGGTACAGAGATCTTGGTGTTGGCAACGAGTTTGACTCCCCATCAGGTCCGAACTGTGGAAGAAACTGGATACGTTGTCTTGCCGAGCAGATAGTGAATTAAATCGATGTTGTAAGGGATGTGTAGTGCGGAACTGGCGCTGCACTGCCCTAGGTAAAAAGGTTTATCTACTATTACCCACAATTTACAGAAGTAGAAACAAAGCTGGACGAAGAAAAGAAGATGAAGACCGAGACTGTCCAATGTGTACCAGGAAAAACGATGAGGGTATCCGAATTTCGCTCAAAACGCGTAGATCAACCAAGATGCAATGATGTGTGATATTCACAGAAGGAAATGTGCGACCATATCACTTCGCGTCGAATACATTAACGGGGGGAATTAGCGCGAATGGACCAAATTTGGGATGATCACAAGGAAAAAGGGCGAACTAAAGACTGGGGCTCAGTCACCATCCCACATGGGAGGTACCCACTCCTGTCCAGGATAACTAGTCGCCTTCATAGTGGGCTCGTCATCTTCCACGGCAGGCAGCTCAAATACCTGTCTGCTATTGCTGTGACTCCCACGTCTCTCCCAGGTTAAAGCTCCTCCGGTAGTGCTACCGCCAATGCTTCTCAGGCTGCCAACCTGCCCGCCACCAGACGCGCTGCGCTCAAGCTCTCTTGCTCTTGCTCTTGCAGCCTCGCGTTCCTGCCTATCGCGTTCATGTCTCTCGCGCTTCTCCTTTTCGCGCTGGACGCGTTCCATGTGGGCGAGATTCTCTTGCTGTAGGAGTTGGCGACGTAACGACTCCGCACCCATGTCTGGTGATGTGCGTTGAGGTGAAGCAGCCATTGAGGCGGGTTGTGGATGCTGCAGGATACCAATCGAGGGTTGACGTGGACGAGAATCTGGTTGTCTATCACGCGGTTCACCGTCTAGATCCGTTGTGATATTGAGCGGTCGAAGTCCTTCGGGGCGACTCTTATCTAAACCACTATTAGGCACACCAGGACCGTCATATGATGGTGGGGCTTCATTTTGAGCTTTCACATCATACTGGGATCCATTCCCGTGTGACGAGGTATAGACGTAGTTTGGCGACGATGGGCTATGAGAATGCGGCCGTTGACCCTCAAATGAAAAAGGCTGGGCGTTAGAAGGTCCGGGTCGCATAGGACTTTGGGCTATTTTTGGTGGTGGAGGTGGGGCAAATTCGCTTGCAATGAAATTCTGGGGACTATTGATCACCGTAGGGTCGGGAGACATGGGCAGAGGATACGCTGCGGGTGGCGGGGATTGTCCCGGATGTATCGGTGTTGGCTGTACAGGTGTCGCGTCGCGGCGGATAATGGGCTGAAGATTTTGACTTGATTGTGCTGCCTGCGAGGTCGCATAGGGCTGCGTGAAACTTCGCGGCAGAATTTCCCTGAATCCACCGCCGTGTGCTTGAGCATGTGGAGGTACAGTATTTAGCGTAGTCTGCTCGGGCGATAAACGAGGCGATGGTGATCCGGCAGCTCTCTCGTCCTGCTGTTGTTGTTGGGCGGTAAAGCGTTCTTGCATGTATTGTCCCTGTCGTGCTCGAACAATGTCTTGTTCGGTTGCTCCTGCTGGGAAGTCGAGATGCCATGGAAGATCCTGCTGATGGACTTCTGATATGCTGCTCATCCTTGGATTCTGGTACCGTTGGCTACTAGGGGCTGGAGAGTAGCTAGGCATTGCTGGAGAGTTTGATATTGGCGACACGAGGGACATTGTGCTAGCATCCGAGTGCATTCGACCGTTTGGAGGTACTTGTGAGTGTGCAGACACTTGCGGCGACACAGCCTGCATTATTGACTCCGAAAGCGGACGATTGTGTTGATCCACTGAAAGTTGCACGGGCGCATCCGTCTGACTGAGTGACAACGACTGCTGTTGCCGATCAAGCGGCGATACAAATGCCCCAGATACATGACTATACGCCGCAGGTATTGGAGGTGCGTCATAACTCGGCTCTTGCGTAGGGGACACTGCAGGTGGAGATATCGGCTCATCATCTTGAGAAGCAAAAAGAGGTCCTGAGCCGTGCGCATTGTGGTACGGAAGCTGAGGTTGATAGTCGTTCGGTCGCCACTCTACCAAAGATTGGTGTTGTTGCTGCTGACGCGGTCGTTGCACCCACGCATCGTCGTTCGGCCATGGCCTATTGTGCTCTGGTGCAGATCGCTCCTGTCGTAGTAGTTCCTCCCGTTGTGCTCGCCAGGTATGATGGGCAAGGTGGTCCTGGGATGTCTCGGGGTGTGCTTGTTGTTCTAGTTGTCGCTCATATTGATGGTCCCTCTGAACACTCTGCTCGTACTCAGACTGCTGTTTTTCGGGGGGTTGCTGCTGTCGCTCAGCCTGTGGGACCGTATAAACTCCTTGGTGAGCTGTTTGCGGTTGATTACGTTGATCTACCTGTCCCCGCGCGGCTAAAGAAGCTGCGTAGGCTCCACTCCCAGCTGGAGCTGGCTCAGCACGATGATTATAGTATCCTCCAGGAGGTGGATCCGAATCTTGATCTCGCGTGTGTGCAAGAGTGTTCTGGAATGGTGCACTATAGGGCTGTGCTTCAATCCCAGGCTTGGAAGCTTGGGATTGATTCAATTGTAAGCTGCTTTGCCGAGCTTGGTGTTCCATCGCTAGCTGCTTTGTTTTAAGGAATGCAGACGCTTCCTCTGAATGTAAACTAGAGATTGGCTCTCGTGATGACAGAACTTGCTGCGTTTGTTGCTGATACGGCTGAGGTAGCTTTTGAGGATGCATGTTGGGTGCTGGTTGCGATGGCCCAAGCTTTTGACCCAGGGGTGGCCTACTTTGTATGGTATGAGGCGGAAGTTGTCCGGGAGGATAGTATGCTAACCCAGACTGCTGTGGCTTATTCTGCTGATGCTGAGGTACTCTATGAGAGGCGCTGGGAGTAGCTGGAGTAGCGGTCGCCTGTATACTCTTCTGTGCCTTCTTTCCTTCTTTTGACATCTTGTATTTCATAGCCGATCCATCACCATTCACACCACCTCGAATGAACAGAGCGCCCAACGCAGAAAATCTCTTCTTCTTGCCAGATTCTGGTCTTTTCGAGTATGATACTTGATGGGCCTGGACTTGAACATTGGATATTGACGGTGGCTGCTGGGATGAAAAGTCGTTGGGAAGGTCGGATGCAATGCGCGTTCTCGAATCGACACGCGGTTCTACCGAGTGTACCTGTAACGAAGCCTGCCCAAACTCCGGTGGCTGCCCCATGTTTGGGCGACTATGCGGCAAGAAAGGATGTTGCTGGTCGATAAGCTTTTCTGCCGATGCCTCCCTAGGGCGCATAAATCTGTCCATTACAGAGTGAAGCGGAGTACCAGAACTAGGATCCGGCGGAAGTGGCTTGGACTGGGAGATTATGGCTGTATTGCCAGAGTTGGTCGTATGCTGGAGGTTCGCCTGTGTCTTACCACCAAAGCTCTTGAACATTGATGTAAGCCGAGGTTTCGAAGATGACTTCTCCTGGTTTCTTGATGTTTGCTCGGCAGGTTGAGACGAAGAATTGGCGGGTGGTCTAAACGCGGCAACTTGGTATTGCCCTTGCCTCTGCAACAATTGCTGTTGCAGTTCAAATTGATTTCTGGGTCCATGAGATTCCATCTGCCCTTGTGCGCGATTCGGGTTGCTCTGCGGCCCCGAAATTGCTGGCCTCTCTTGTTCTGCTAGCGGAACCCGACCCGAAGCTTGAGTGGCCTGTGGTAACTGACAGTTAAGATCAGGACTTCCGGAAACTGCTTGCTGGGAAGCTTGATGGCCCGCAGGACGCCAAGAACTGACGGTAATCTGAGTGGTTTTGTTACTGGGGTCGATTGACTTTACCGCTTGGAAGATATTCTTGGATGGAGATGGGCCAGATGCAAGCATTGGCTGGTGCCTCAATGCGCTCCGATCCGAGGGCGGTGCGACGTTTGCTAGCGGGTTCGGTGAGTACACTGTGTCCATATGTAGTGATTGCTGGGACTGATTACGATGCTGCATAGCGACAGGGGAAGATTGCGTTGCATTTGCAGATGCGGTCTGGTTGATCTGATCTTGAGGTTTGCCGTCTTGGTCTTCAGGTCCTGAGACGAAGCTCATTGGCCTTTCAAAACTGTATCTTGGGCGATCACCATCGCGAGATGATGGCGCTGTCGCAATACCGGAAGTTGAAGGCTGTGATGGCTGTTGTTGGGTAGTTGCCCCTCGCACCTGGAGATGTCCAAGTCGCAAAGGCTGGCCATGCTCGTCTTGCACATCCTTGACGACTCCGTTATGATCTGCGTAAAGATCAAAACCATCGTCGCCACCATACGACATCAAAATCTCCTCTGGAATCTGTGGTGGGACTGCCGAAGGCTTCACGGTGGACTCTGGCTGCATGCGACGAATTGTTGACGGGGTTGATCTTCCAGTAGATGTTTGAGAGTAAGGGTTGCTTCCCTCGTCAGAAACCATGGCAGATATCTGCGAGAGCATGGATCTTGACCGTTCTGGAGCCGCCGTAGCGCTATTTGAAACCTGCAGTTGCTGTGCTTGGTGCTTGAAG